ATAAAGGGTGCAAGCAGGAGAATTACTTGTTTTGGTTTGTGTTGCTGAGTGTGGCATTTAAAATCAGAGAGGGATGTTTGCGTCTGACCTTTCTTTCAAGGGGTGTTTCCAGAGTCGAGCTTTGGCTGCTTGCTTCTGAAGGAGTAGATGTTTCAAAAGCTGGCCCTGTGACCCAACATCACCACTTACCAGTGTGCATCTCTAGGGTAGCTGAAGGACACTGCTGTAGCCAGCACTGGTTTGGGTATGTGCTTTTAAAAAAAGAAAAAAGTTATGATAGATTTCCTTTCCAGAAAAAGGGACTGAATTTGACCTAAAAATCCCTCTGAGAACTAGATATGCTTGTATATTATCAGCTTTTCTCATGAATTAGTAACTTAGCAAAGAAAAAGACCAAAATTACTTTATTCCCTCTGGAAGTACAGTACTTCTGAAAATCGCATCCATTGAGAGCTCTAGTTAGACACTGACAAAGAATCCTTGCCTTTAATTAAATTGTAAGTATTTATGGTAGTGATTACAGTTATCATTTTAATTATTTTCCTTCAGTACAATACCATTGGTTTGCACTGGAGCTTTTCAAAAAGCATCTCCTTACCTAGAAGGACAAATGGCATACTCTGATCAGTGAAATTGTGATTTGCAGATACTGTAGTTATCAGAGATTAGTGTTTCTATGATTTTAAGGTTTAGCTGTCATCCTTCATCTATGTTTAAACCTCACTTTTCTTATTTTTCTCCTGAGGGCATTATGGAAAGAGTATTTTGTTAACTTCATCTTGGAGTTATCCAAATGAAGGGGAGAGAAAGCCTGCTCTGTTCAAAAAAGAAAAAAAAGTGAATTGAAAAATATCCAGTTTCCACAAGAAGCTTGGAAAATGTGGATATTTTTCAAGATTCCAGAGGAGGGCAACTAAGATGATCAGGGGGCTGGAGCACCTCCCCTATGAGGACAGGCTGAGGGAGTTGGGCTTGTTCAGCCTGGAGAAGAGAAGGCTGCGGGGTGACCTCATTGCAGCCTATCAATACCTGAAGGGAACCTACACCCAGGAGGGGAGTAAACTCTTCAAAAGGGCTGACAATAGCAGGACTAGGGGAAATGGATCCAAGTTGAAGGAGGGAAGATTTAGGTTGGATGTTAGGGGGAAGTTCTTTACAAGGAGACTGGTTAGGCCCTGGAACGGGCTGCCCAGGGAGGTTGTGGATGCCCCGTCCTTGGATGTGTTTAAGGCCAGGTTGGACGGGGTCCTGGGCAACCTGATCTGAATGCGTGTGTTTGGTGGCCCTGCTAGGCAGGGGGGTTGGAACTACATGATCCTTGAGGTCCCTTCCAACCCGGGTGATTCTGTGATTCTGTGATTTACTTAAGAGGGGAAAAGGGCAATAAAAGAAGGAAAGGACTCTGCCCTGTATGTCGAGGGCACCTCACCTTGCAGAGATATTGAGATATTGTGCAGGCTGGAGATAGCATTGCAGTTCTTTTGAGCTGGGTATGACTTGCTAGAATTCCTTGGCCAGCAATGTCCCGGCCCTGCTTATTTACATCCTGTTGTCACAACCTTGAAAAAATATCATGTAAATCCTTTCCCATCCAAGCATATAACCAAGGGAGCCCAGTTCTGCTCTGTGGCCAGAATGGTAGCATGCTTAAGTGAGGAGAACATGAGGTGCCATATGATGGAGCGTGTGCATCTATTCAGGTAACCTGAGTTGCATGACATTCCTTCTTCTGTCTGGCTAGGGCATGGTATGGGTGGGGCCCACTGAGTGCTTCAACTTGAGAGCAGTACACATCTGGCCATGTGTGAGGAGGGTGCACTGGGTAAAGCCTCAGGAAGAGTTATTTCAGGCAGAAACTAGAGGCTGCTTGTATTGTCTGGGGCTCACTGGATTAGGTACAGTAATCAGGCAGCTTCTGCTCAAAACCACTACCAAATTAAAAGGAAAACAATATCTTAACATCAATTTAGTAATACTAATGATATGAGGAACATAAGCTCTCTGGAACCAATTGCAGGTAATGCAATGCTTTAAGATGCCATGAAACAAAGTAGATAGAACAAAATTTCCCAGATAGGGAAGGAGTTCCTTCAGCTAAAAGAGACTTAGTTCTTGTGCGAGTATCCTATTTCAGTTTGTTAGCCCCTGCAGCGTCCTCCTCTGATGTGCTGCTGCAGTGGGTGTGATACAGTCTCTAACAGCTGGTCTCAGACTCTACCCTGCAAGGATTCTTTCAAATAATGGAGTTTACCTTTAACATCAGTGAGTTGGTATTAATTCCTCTAATTTTCTTGGTGGTTGAAATTACCAAGAAATGTGTAAGTGATCCAGTGGCTGACAATTGCTGCAATTATTCATTCTTCTTTGCTTGAAACTGAGCATATCTGCTTTTTTTCTCTCCTGTCATTTTCCCCCTTCCCAAGTGCTTTTAAAGTATTTCTCAGATGTCTGCATGTCAGAGTTCACCTTACGCATTAAAATAAACATCATCCCAGCCTGTAGCCTTTCCATATGTAACTTCACCTGTAAAAGAAATGAGCAGAAATAAACTACTACTTCCTACTTATTCAAAGTTACTGCTGCTTGTTAAGCAATTTCAAAAGCTATTATATCAATTTTATTTATTAATATCAACTCCCCTTTCAATACTTGTGCTTCACATCTTTCAAAGACTTGTATAAACCTTTCATTCTTCCAACACTCATCGAGCTCAGATTAACTTATTTTTTCTTTTGATTTTCTTTATAGCCTTTTATTTTTTTCCTTGCAAACCTTAACTAGCTCTGCCTTCTCATTTAGTTTCTTCCTCCTTCTCCATTTCCAGTACAGATTATTCTTTGTCCTTAGAGCTTTGAGTGGTCCCATGGGAATGCTCATCAGTTGCTGTTGCTGCTTTGCTGACAGAAGAGTTGCAGCATGCAGAATGGGAGAGTCAGCAATGCCTGGACCTTGATTATGAGTAGACCTCCCCCTGCTACTTAAAACCTCCCTTGCAAACACTGGAGGGGAGGGGAAACACCTGGTGGAGCTGATATATTAATACTCATACAATAGCACCAATTGCCTGCAGGAATAAAAAAAGACCAAAACCCCAAACCTGAACATCTAACTTGAGAACAAAATTAATTTTAAAATGTAGGTCATATGCTAATACAGCTCCCAGTGTAACCTGTGTAGCTCCAGCATGCACAACATAGGAGTATGCTATCTCTTTGTTTTCTTGCTTGCTGTTTTTTGCCACTTTCTGTGCAAATGTGATTAATTCAGCCATGAGACTCACTGGCCCTATAGATAAGATGATTCATTCTTTCATCTAAAGTTTGTTGATGATTTGAGTGCTCTTGTGATTGGGGGGCTGTTCCTCTTTCATTGTTGATGAGTAAGGAGGTAAAAGGAGGCTTTCCTCCTATGGTCATGCTTCCCTATGGGTAGGCTCTGTTACAGGGGATTTTTGTTGTTGTCACAGCAGTAATGCTCAGATGGTTTGGGTGGATCAGTGAGCCCCATCAGCCAAAGGGTCTTTGAAGCCAACCGAGAAAAATGGTGCCAGCACCTTTGTCTGCATTGGAAGGATCTTCTGGTGGCTTGGGATGTCCTCCTGCTGGAGGAGGTCTGGGGAGATCAATGTCCTAGGAGCAGGCTTTGGGCTGAGTGAGTCGGCACATATGTGCTAGAGTCTGTGTTCTGAGCAGTCCTGTTTGAATGCATCAGGACAGATCACTGCGAGGGCCAGAAGAGTGGATTTGGACAATGGTTCAGTTCTGATAGGTTGGTTTTCTACTGCTGTTTGAGCTGAATATTTGCACGGTTCAGACCTTTGCAAAGTTCGGGGTACTTGAACAGGGGCTGTGACAGATTCAGAGCTGCACAGTAACAACTTATGAATACCACATGCTGACTTGGATTATTGGACTCTTTACTGCATAATGATATTGTTTAATTTAATACAGAGAGATGGAAAGAAATAAGCGAGAAAGTAAGATGCAAGATAAGCTACTTCTCAAAGCATGAGAAATAAGGAGCATTGCTAGAAGAAGAAAGAGGCAGAGCTCAAGTGATAAGCAGCACCATTTTAAAAAAGGAAATGTCTTTAAGATGGGATGATGGTTGGCGGCATGAACCCCTAGAACACCGACCTGGTAAGAGGCTGAATGCATCTGAAGTGGAAGCAAGAATATAGGCATGCGGCACACATAAGTTCTCACCTGCAGAGCTGGGTAAAGTGTGTGTGTATGTGTTAAAATGAGCTATTAGCGATGCCGATTAATATCTTAAGTGCACTTTTTTTGTTTCAATTGTTTTGAAACAAAACTCTTAATGAGTTGTATTTTCTTCGAAGACCACTTTAAATATTGTCTTTCAATTCTTGTATCAAAAAGCTTAAAAAATTTCAAGTCAAGAAAGACATTGTTTCAGGCCACTACTTTCCTGCCTCAGCTTTTCACTTCAGTAAGGAAAATAAGGGGATTTATGAAGATAAAGGTTTTTTTTTTTTTTCTTTCTTAGTTTTTGGGACTTTCAGTAAACGATAAGAAAATCAGTCCACACAGCTCTGTTTATAACTGGCTCAGTAATTTAAAACCTCCCCCCTCAGAAAGCTGCCTCTGTGCTGTACATATGCAGACACAATTTAAGGAGGCTCGCTGGTCATTAGCATGTTAGAGTCTGACTCTTTGATGGAAGAGCTGGACACTAGACCTGGCCAAAGGAGAGCAAGGGATGTATTGAGTACTTCTATCCATACAGCAAGTGAATCAGAATAGCAAGTGTACTGCTTGCAGGCAGCACAGGATTGCAAGCTGCATGGGTACTTCATGTCTTAGCTGCCCAGCAGCTCTACAGGTGTAGCAGTTTGATCCCTGCTGTGCATGTAAGTGCTGGATTTCTTGGCAGATGTGTACTGGAGCCCACACTGAACTTTGTATCTTTGGATCTCATGTTGTTTGCTATCACTAGTGTTTTCTATCATGTATTAAAATTGGCAAAGGGGAGGCGTCTGAGCTAATATAGGTGAAAATAGAATAATACTGCTTTGAGAAGGTCCCTTGGTGAAAGAGCAGAAAATAGGTGGAGGTTTGGTTTTCCACAACCATACCAGAGATTACCACTGGGTGAAGAACTCACTAAATGAAATTATTTGAGTGCCGAGGACAGCCGTTTTATTGAGCTGCTTCTGGTAAGGATGAGTGTATGACTCCTGGCATGAAGCAAGTGGGTAGAACGTGAGAATTCCAGTATTTCCCTTTTGTTGCTGCAAAAAGCAATTGCTGTGTTCATTAATATTTGTTGGTGAAAGCTGGCTGGCTGAATAAGGTGGTTGCATGAGGTGTTGAGAAATGCCTTAGATGTTTTGTTCTCAAATGGTCATCCTACTGAACAAGCAACTGCCCATTTAAACGTCTGCTTAATTACAGTGGCGCCAGTTTGTCCCATGTTCATAATAGTTGTGCCAGTATTTTTACAATGTACCTTCATTATCTAAGTTTTATGTCTGTTCATAAAATGTTGCTCTAGGCAGGTATGTGGTATATTAGGTAGAAGGGAGGAAAATGAACAAATCCATTATAAGTTAAATTGTAAGAGGACACCATGATTTAGAAGAAAATATTGTAGTATGACCCATTATAGTAGGCCTGTGCTAATGGTATGCCTGCTCTTGGGGGAGAACTGGGACCTTCATTCTCCTGACTCAGTGGAAAGCTGGCAGTCTCACACCTTGCCATCATTGCCTAGTGGAACTGTGCAATGCTTGTTAGCTGTGATGGGCAGAACAGCAGTTGTCCGTTGTGCTCCATGCTTCATCTGACAGCCCTTGCTTGAACTGCTGCTTACCACATCTGCTGTGGTACAACCCTCTGACCAAGTTATCTTTTGCTGAGCTTCTATATCTCAACTCTTGCATGAAATAACGTGACACATTTTCTGTCCTCATTAGCTCATTTTGTCTTTCTGCTCTGCTTTTATTGTTGAAGTTTTTCTTTCCAAAATAGGAACAGAAATGGCTTTTTATGATGTCTCCAAGCACCTCAGGAACCCACAAAAAAAAAAAAGAATTAGCAAATCAGTGTTACTGGTTACCCCATAACTATGGATTTCTCTGCTCCTTTTCTTAGTATTCTTGACTTCAAGATAGACAAGTTATGATGAACAAGATCTTCTCCTGGTTGGCTTTCTGAATCTGCTTGATTCTTGCCTCCAGCTGTCCACGCACTTCGGTAGTTAAATCATCACAGCTCTGCCTGGTTCACAACTATTAAAGAGCCTCATGCTTTACAGCTCTCTCATGACATAGGGAAGTGCTATTACCCTCATTTAGTTGAGAAAATATAGCCCAAATGAGATGTAATGACTTTTCCAAAGAACAACAGCATGGACAGCAAATGACCGAGTCTGATCTGCCATAAGTTAAAGGCATCAGTTCTTTTCCAGTTAACTCTTTGTTTTTAAAGGAAAAAACAAAGAAGGGGGGAGGGAGTTGAAATGGGAGGGGAGGAGCAAGATGGTTTTTTAAAAAACTTTATATGAGATGTTTAGTGAGACCATATCATGCCTTCATTATAATTCCACAAGCTGTACTTTCAGAGTTCTATTTGGAGTTTAAATGTTCAGTTGGGTTTGCTCATCCATTTTTTTTTTTTTTTATATCTGCAGGTGTTCACTTTTGTCTTGTGTGTGTGAATTGGGTATTTAAATGTCAAAACCCCTGGTATGTTCATGAGTTTGGTTCATTTTCCCTGTGTTGAGGTAACTGCAGAGGCCTCTGATATTAAGTAAAGAGAATTAACAAGATAAATGTAAGCATTTGTTCAAACGGATTGTACTTGGAAACCTTAATTAGAGGGCACAAAGCCATTAAAGAGTAAAAGCCTGTCGGCCTGGGGCTGATGAGGAATGCTGGCCTTCATAGCCACAAGCCCAGCCAGCTTCTGTCTTCTCTGCAGTTTTATTTGTTTTTACAGAAACAGTTGGAATAGCCCATTATTTTTACACTCTTTCTTTCCCCGTATTCAACTGGATTATTTCATACAATGTCTACTTTAAACAGTATCTCAGAAATATGTCAATGTATTTCTTTCTGATGCCTAGTCTGGTTTGTGCTAGACTTTACAGAAATGCTCATTTTCTTTAAAAATAATAATAATAAAAAATCCTGCTTTTCTGTGGTCAAACACATGCAAGTAAATAAGGCACAACCTGCAAAAGACATGGACGCTGTTAATTGCATAGGAACATCATCAAACCTTAGTGTCTGGTGATTTCTCCATTTTAAAACATTTTGTTTTATGCTCTTTAGTTAGTATCTTGCAAAAAAAAAAAAAAAGGCCATATAAAAAAAAGCCATATTTTTGCTTTTCTCAGTTTGGGGGAAAGTAAAGAAGCAAATTCAAATCCTAGCATTAGGTTTATTGTGTAAAGGATGAAAGTTTGTCAAGGGAAGTTGGATATTTGAGCTGGCCTTCTCAGTAGTGTGAAATTTGACAGAAGAGGGCACATGAGATAAGACTGTCAAATTTCACCCCTCAAACAGACTTTGCGAGGCTGCTTCTTTAGGATAGCTAGCAAAGGTGTAGAGGGTGACATAGGAACAAAGAGAAAGGAAGAAAGTGGTTGATGAGAGATTGAGTGCCATTAGATGAGTTGTCTTTGGAGCCAAAGGATCTTGTCTTTCTGAGTTGTATGGGCATTCTTCAGAGGTCAACATTCATGTCCCAGTAGTCCTACTCTTTCCAAAGTAAAGAAAATAAACTCAAGGTATGGCAAATGGGTGTCCTTCCCTCAAATGACATCAATGAACCACAGGGATTTTGGCAGGCAGTGCCATTCTTTGAGAGCTGAGCTGTGCTATTGCTCTGCTATGAGCTGTGCTATTGCTCTGCTAATTTCTTTTAAGTAATATACAGATCTCCTGCAGATCAGAAGTTACTCCTGTTGAAGTTTCTTTTGGGATTAAGATTGGGCCCTTCATAAGGACTTGACCAATGAAGCTATTAGCCTGGTCCAAGACATTTAATGTCTGTTATGCATATGCAAGTCTAAGTGCTGGTGCTACATAAGGAGGACTGCCTGGATAGTGCTGTTACCAACCATGCTAATGGGGGAAACGATTTCTGTTTTCTAGGGTAATTGTTTCTAAAATGCATTGCAGAGTTAATTGTAGAATGTGATTGAAAGGAATGAATTGGATGACACTGGTTGAAGCGTTTTCAACTGGGTGTCTTTTTCCTACTCCAAGAAACTTCACTTCAGCCTGGAGTTTAGGCTATGATCTGCGCTCATGTTCTACAAGATTATTTGTTATGGGCTGTGTGTACTTCCAGCAAATGTTAAGGTGTCCTCTCAACACTGGGCATTAGAGATTCAGGAAGAAAATCCAGCAAGTACTGCTTGAGATTTTCAAATGACGGGCAGATACCTACTGGCATTAATCTTCTTTCTGTATTCTCTAAAGAGCTCTTTGACAAGGGTATGTGCAGGACAGGAAGAGCTTGACAGGATTCAGCTCCCTCTCAAATCCCTCCATTGCAAATAAAGGAAACCAAGATCCTTCATCATCAGCCCAGGCTGTGGTGCAGACAGCCTGCCCTGTGAGAAGATCTCTCCATTGGGATATGTGGTGCAGACAGCCTCCGGTGTCTGCCAAAAAGGGCCACCCAGGAGCTGTGTAGGTTTAGAGTAGGGTAGGCACTGAAAATTATGATTCTAGCACAAGCCTGCAGCCAAAAGACCCAAAATGAAGCACTGAGATGTGTTCTGCATGGGGTTGCATGGGCTTTGTGATGCCCAGCACCACCATCTATCTTCCCGTGTACGGTGGATGGATGGCTTTGAGACAGCTTTCCTGCTTCAGATAAAAGAAGGGTAGTGCTCTTGGTCCACGGGACAACCTGTAGGGCACTCAACAGCACAGGCTGTTGGCAGCCTGGGGAAAAAGATGGGTGGGTTACAGGAGAAAGGGCTTCCTACCTGGAGAGACTCTATAACTTTGATTTGAAGACAGCGTAGGTCAATGTTATTCTTAAAAGGCTGAGTTATCCTTGTGAAGTTGTGTAAATGGGATTGATAGTGGCATCATGCCTATGAAATAAAGGACACAAAGCTTTCCTGTCCTGAATGACTGACTTGTTTATGTTTTGCTGTCAGTGCGTGTCACTTCCAAGGTTTTCTCAGTCGTGCTGTCCACTGTGGTTGTAGTCAGGGATTCCTTATTGCTTAAGTTTGGCTCCTCAAAATGGATGTGCAAAGTGAGTATTTGCCTTGCTCTGGTTGTTGTATGCAAGGAACTTCATGACACTTTTAAAAGATAAATTATAAGTTACAAATCTTTTAAAAGTATACGTATTTCTTATGAACATTGTATGTCCAGACTATAAAAGGGAAGAAGCTAGCAAAGTGGATTGACTGGCAAAATGGAACTTTTTGTGCAGGATATGTATAACAGTGTACTGAGGGCATGAGAATGTGAAGGAGTTGGAACTAAGTTTTGCTGGCACAAACTTGGAGTAGTTCAGGTGATGACGAACAAAGTCAGGGTTTGTCTCACTGTGGCCTTCTTTGAATCCATACTTCCTTGATCCATGGTTGTAGCTGATTTACAGTTAGTCAGTAACTCCATAATTCCAGTCTTTTCTGCCAAAACCCATCAGCCTTCCCCATGAAGATCTAAGCTTTTCTTCGGGAAGGAAATAATTTAGTTAATTTGCTGAATAAGTATGTGGTAGAGTTTTGTGGGTAAGCCTAAGGGAGAAGATTGAAATCACAAAAGACATTTGAACATCAGTTGGCTGTATGAATTTCAGCACAATGAAAGTCAAGACAGTGACAACAGCAATTTAAGAGTTTATTTTAAAAACTGTAGCATTTTGCTACAAAACTGTGTAGCGATTTAGGCTTTGAAATGCTCGTATGGCGGAACACTATAGCTTGTCTTATATGAAGACCTGGAACTAGATGTAAATGGTAGCTGAGAAGAGCAGTCCTTTGTGGGAAATCTGAAGACATCCCTCGTCTGCTATCTAAAAGTCAATCTAGCTATCTCCACGTGTAAACTTGTAATCCTACAAATATACTATCCCAAGGAAATCTGCAGACAACATTTACATTAAAAGATCAGTCTTAAATGAATACTGGAGATAACCACATGTTAAATCTTGGCTCTTGGAGAAGTTTCCTACTGTC